TTAGCAGAGGTAAGACCTAAGCCTTTGAAATGTAACTACTGCTGCTGGCTTTGCATGGGACCCTGCTGTGGGTGTGCACGGCTTCAGAGGAAGGTAAAGGAAAAGTCAGCGGTGAGGACAGAGCTTACCTTTTCATCGGCTGTTTTATGTGGCAGCATTAGAATTTCACCTTCGTGGAGCCATAAGGATGAAGGGCTCAACGCTGCAAGATGCTAAGCAGCCTGGCTTTGATTTAAGAATGAACCTAAATCTGTGCTGAACTTTAATCATTTAAATATTCCCACTGAAGTCACTGGTTTGAGTCAGAAATACCTGTCATGACAGTCTTAAATCTCAAGTAGATCTTTTGTTTGTATGTTTGGACTGGCACAGGGTGACAGAAAACTATGGTAAGGAATGGTGAGATAGAGTTCCTTTTGAGGAAAGATGAGAGAGCAAGTTTGGTTAAGAGTGAAGAAGAGAGGACAACTAAGTGGATGACCATTTCTTTGTGCTCCTATAATTGATATTTCTTTGGATGAATTTTGCCTTAAAACAGAATTAATAGATGAGAATAGGTAGTTATTTGAACACTAGTTTATATGGATGATTCTGGTAACCTGGTCTGGATTATGTAATTCAGATTATTTTGGTTACTATATTATTTAGGCCATTTCTTCCCTGGGTATCCTGACGTGTCTCCGGAATGGACATGGTGTGACTGGGTCTGTGTGAGGCTGTTCCCTTTCTTCTCCAGGGATGCTCCTTCCATATTGGAATGGATCTGGGGGAGAACCCACCTGCTTGCTTGAGGAACAGTCTTATGCTACAGATAAAAACAGAAATAGTTGGAAGGTAACAGGACTGTCTTTTGAAAAACAGTGTCTAAACTGCTGTTTATGAAGTGGTTGAGCATTCTGGATACCTTAAAATACTTCGATCAGGGAAGATTTTCAATCCTTTCACAGGAATGTACTTGGAAAAAATCAGGTTCTTTTCCCTCCCCACTTAAATGCAAACTGCAGAATATGTTATAATAAGAAAAAAAATGCTGGGGTGAATAGTTCCTACATCCTTCTAACCTCAGAAATTAATCATATTAAGCTTCAACACTTAATTATTTCAGTAGTGTAAGTGATGAACTTAATTTCTGTCAATTCATCGAGTGATCAGGCCTCATCTACATAGAAAAAGGTAACTGGTTGAAATGTATAAGTTAAAGTGAAAAAACCCACTCATACCTGTGTAGACATATATTAATAAACTAATTCTGTAATACATACCAAATGTGGTGCAATTTTCCCATAGAAGCAGCTCCTGTACCTTCTTCCAGCTATAGTGAGATTCCGTTGTGTCTTGTTCAAGTAGAATAACGGAATGAGTGTCCTCCCACATCACTCTGCACTACAGTGTATGCTGAACAGCTGTGAAGGTTTCATACGCTTGTATCAATTGACTGTGATATTAAAAAAACCAAACACCTATCTTTTATAGTTAGTAAGGAATATGGTGTGTATCTTGAATCTAACCAAAACGACTAACAGTAATTTCACTTAATGGCAAGATGGTGAGTTACAAGGAGCTTTCTCCAGAAAACTGGCATGTATGAGTTCAGAAGCATCTTCTATCACCTTTTACATTGCTTTATAAAATGATGATACACGGAATTAGCTGTATGGGCATCAAAATAAGCAAGAAACTCTAAATAATTTTTACTTTTTAGGCTTCTGTAATATCATCTCAATGTAGAGCCAGTGAGCATGACCAGGCTGGAGTTGTGTAGTGCAATTGGTGAAAGTGAATTAATAAAACCACTGGACCATGAGCCTGTGAGAGTGCAAGTTTCTGCTGCTGTGCTGTAGGCATAAAGGAAATATTTTCTTAAATACCATTTCCATTTTTGTTTAATCTTTTTGCAAGGTAAGCAGCATGCTGTAGTTTACATGGCATTAATTTTATGATTTTATTCTTTCTCTTGGAGCTTGTATAAGGAATGAGATAGTTATCCTTTAACTTGGCAATTAAACTCAATAGTGTATGCAACTGTAGGTGTTTATTTGGTGTTCGAAAGCAAATAGATAATATTTTACTTTTTTTTTTTTTTACATCATCCTTACCCTTTTCCTTTGTATACAATTTCTTTCCTTTATGACACAGTGACCATCTCTGAAAGCACTAATACTGTGAGAACTAGAGGAGGAAATAATCATGGGACATGCGAATCAAGGATATTTTGCTTTCTGAAGACTTCTACAACCTTTTGTCTTCAGACATAAACACATACTTCTATGAAAACAAAAGACAATAAACACTTCATTCTTCTTCTGAGAAGTTGACTCGAGGAAGTCCTGGCTGAGTTATGGATCCTTGAAAATGAGGACCCGTTAAGAGACCGAGCTCAAATTTTATTCGATAGAGAGGTTACTGAAAGTATCAACCGTGATTGTACATGAATAGCGACTGGGTATGCGAATGTGTAAATAATGTCATTTGCATTTTAAATTTGTCTAAGAGCATCTTGGGGGCATCTTGTTTTCTTCCATTTTAAAACTCTGAATAGCACCTGTAATTAAGGGAGAAAACTGAGCCCTGGAAGGTAGGTAGGACTTCCATCGATTGATCTGTGTAAACCCGGCTTACGCTGTCAGGGGAGCAGCAGTCAACTGCTGAGCTGCTTTGTCACTGACATAAGCTGAGAGAGGATTTTTTTTTTTTTTTTTGTCTATACTGTTTATACACCAGTCTATAGACCTGCTGGCTGGTTGAATTTTAAAGAGTGCGGAGGTTTAAAGACTTGTCCCCTGAGGGATGCTCCTGCCAGTTGGGAAGCGAGCTGCGGCTGCTCTGCAGAAGTTGCGTGCGCGGGTGCTGGCTGGGGGGGCCCAAAGCCTGTCCTGCACCTCAGCCTGAAAACGCTGCAAAACATACCCAGCATTTTCAGGTTGTTTAGTCAAAATATTGAGCTAATGCCTTTGGTTTTTTTTTTTTTTGGTTTTGTTTTCTTTTTCTTGCGTGATAATTTATTCTGAGAGAATACAATGGGGAACATAAATGAACACATTTCCATACCCAGTTCTGAGTCGGTGCTAAGCTCACCAGGCAGCAATTAAAATCCTCGGTAGTAAGGAGAAAATGACTTCTATAGTGTGAGAATAGGGGCAGATTTGGAAAGAGAATTTAAATAGAATATAAAATACTGTTTATTTGGAATGGGGAAAAACAAGCTTTATGAGCCTGAAGTGAGAGACTATCCAGAAATGTTTAGGAAATTTTGGAGTTAAAAGTTTTGATTAGCCTGTTCTGCTTGCTTTCTTTTGTTAGAGTTTATTATTACTACTACCAGCATCATGTATCCTTGTTTCCTGCTTACAGAAATTAAAGTGTTTACCTGCTCTGTTTGTATTTTGCTCCTCACGCTTCCACAGTGGCCACTCAGAGCAGTCAGGATGGTGCTTGAGCAGTTTCTTTTGGAGAATATTATATGTACTTCTATCGTTTATAATTAAGTTAATAACCTTTATCAAAACACAACATGTGGCTTTCATATCCTCCTTTATCTGTGCTGACAAAGTAAAAGTTCCAAAGTTTTCTTGAACTCTCTTGTATGACTTACAAATTCTAGAAAAATTGACTTTTCCATTTTGTACTGTATGGTGGTTTACTGGGGCACATAATATACCTTTAAAATGTTGCAACATACGCATGGTGTATTCAGAGTCATCTTTTTCCTGAACTATTTGTCCCTTGCTGATTAACATGCATGAGTTCTTCATGTTTTACACTATCCACTGAGCCAGGCAAATGTTTGAAGTAAATAGTCATTGTGGTGTGTAGGAATTTAAATATATTATTTCCTCTAATGGGAGCTGACTGTTCATCATGCAGTAGATGGAGAGTTCGGGCTGGAGAGTGCCAATATCTTAGATCAAGTTCTTAAACCCCCATATGCAGCTCTGGAAATTTGCAATCAATATGCGTTTTTCTGACAGCACACACCTCGTGGGATAGCTCGTGCATACAGCAGTGTATGTTGGTCTGCTACAGAAAGGGAATTCTTCTGTGTTGGCCGACTGTGTTGACATTGACTGTCTCCTCTTAGCTGAAGCATTTCACAGAGGGTTTGTTTTCCCAGTTGGGAGCAAGGAAATAAAACCCGTCTTTCTGCGATCTTGTAAGGTCATTGTTTAATATTTGCTGGTAACTGATCTGGTATTCACTTTTTTTTTTTCCCCCCCTTAAAAGAAAAATGTTGACTAGTTTGAGAGCATTTTTATATTTTAATTAACACATTTTATTTGCCACTAAACAGCTTCTTAAATAAAATTCTGCATGAAAGAGTGACGTTATCCTTTCGTATTACGGTACGAATGTAGATCCGGTGGATTTCACCCCCCTTCCCTTTCTTAATAGCAAGGCTTGCTTTTGAAACCCAAAGGGTTAATCATATAAATTTCTCCTTTGGACCAGCAGACGATTTCCATCATTTCCAGCATTTGACTATGGAGCATGTATAGAGTTGTTATACCTCTCTGTAATTCATTCTGCTGCCAACTTCATTCCCTTTTCTCTGCCTGCATTTTAATTGAAACAACATTTGTGTATTTGAGCCAGGATCTGTCAGAAGTCCCTGTGGCTAGTCTGTGGTACAAGTAGCAGCAGACGTGGCTTACCCATATGGTGTGGTGCTTCTTGTAAAATCCATATGGCCTTGTTGAAGGGAATCCCAGCGGGGATGTGAAGGGTGTTAATACCCTTCAGGCCAGGCCTTTCCCTCCTGGGGCTTCTATGGCATTGTCTTTGCAATCTGCCAAAGCACAAACTTAATTCCTTTTTAATAATCAATTATTTCAGTCCGGGAACGTGTGCTGTATTTTTTGCTATCATATATTCCTTGAATTTATTATTTGTTATGAGTATTTTTCAATTTTTTTTTTAAAAGCAAGCTGTAGGGCAGTTGCTAGCAAATACACATAAAAGCTGTTTCAAAATCCTAACTTTATTTCTTTTGCTTGTATTTACAGGAAGTGCTGAACAGCGTTCCAAAGTTCTGCTTTCCTTTTGACATTGAAAGGTACGTGTTACAGTTATCGTTTATTTAAAAATATTTCATAGAAAATTGTATTTAGCATAATTGCAAGGAAAGATTTAAAGAAAAAGAAAACATATTGTACTCCTTAAACTTGCACCTGCAGATGAGAAGAACATGTCCTTTGTGTTCAAGTAAGTATGAAATCACTAGTAGAAAATTATCACAGCAAAATACAAACTTTACAGAATTTTGCGGATGTCTCTCTCAAGATAGAGCTACGTTCTGGCTCCCAGTTTTGTCCGTCATAATTGTAAACACCATCTGTGTTAATGTAAGGATATAACATAGTCTTTTTCAAATGGCAAGCATAGAAAAAAAATGTTACGGTGCACCGGGATATAAAAACTCACCGAGCCGTACTGAAAACATGTTGCTTGAGTGCAAAGAAATTAAGACTTTAATTGTGTGGAAGTAACTGAATATGCAATTGATTTTTCTCGGAGAAGAATCAGGACCATTATTTGTAATTAATTAGCCTTTACCTTTCTGGTATCAGTTACAGTGTGGCTTCCATGTAATGCTGCCTGTCATTCAATTTATTCATATAAAACATTTTTATTAATTAAAATATTTATTTAGGCTTGTCAAAATGATTAATGGTAATTAATTTAATCAATTGTACTCACTCAGTTTAGAAAACTCGTATTGTCGAAATCAGCAAAGATTGAATTAGAAGCTTGATTTGCATAATTAATGAAAGATAAAGCCAGGTAGCATGCAGGCTGAGCTGGTTTCTGAACAACATTGGCATCAGTTGTAGATGGAGACTCCGAGATGAGAAGCATTTACTGGATGCAAGAAGCTTCTATCTGTGGTGTAAAAGTTGGTGTGTGTATAGAGGAAAGAAGAGAGGCTGTGCAGGAAAACACCCTGGCAAAATAAAGATCTTCATAAACACAACTTCCCTGAAGTAAACTAGGTTCATTTAGTCTTTCATAGTTGAATTTAATTGTTTGGGTTTTGAATTGGTTAAGCTCACTGTCTTGTAAGCTGTTTTAATGACTTAACTAATATGGTTGTCAGTGTTGGCCTTAAAGCGTTAAAGTCTTTAATGTGCTTAAGATAGGTACAGAATTCTGCTTAAAATTGGTAATGAAGATGAATAATGGAAATAAAATTTGAGGGTAACAGAAAAAGGTGAGGTTCTGTTGCTGCCATCCAGTGGCAAGAAGATAATCAGTGGCAGGAAATATTTTCAAATATCTTGTCTTCTGTTAACTATTTCTGTTGAACCATTTGGAAGACACTTGGTTGCTTTTATGAGATGGATAAGCTTGATCAATAAACTGTGGGCATACATGAATTTATAGCATAACTAGGTATGTACTTTAGCTGAGTATCCAAAGCGGCGGGGGGGGGAACAAACCAAGGAAAAAAAAAGAAAAAGTTACGGCATGTTTATTGTTTGTCTCTTAGTACCCTCCCGTGCCCCTCTCCCAGATACACTTTTTGACTCTTAGCCCCATACTCAACTGTCAAGCACTGCACTCAAAAGGTGCAAAATTTCTACAAATTTCATAGAAATTGGCAGTTGGTCAGAGGAAGGAAAGGTGTTTGGAAGCTGAGATAGACTGACGGGGGAACAAAACCGCCGTGTTCGGTCTGGCCTGCTGACTGCTCGGGAGGTAGGTACCATGGCATCTTTAAAATCGGCCACCGCACTCGCAGCTTCGTGTGTAGCTGGGGGCTGAGTGTAGGGGTTTGTGGGAGAACGAAAGGCGATGAGACATCATGAGAGTAGAAAAGAGCACGGACAAGGAGGAGGGGCTGCGTGTGGGGAAAAGGACAGAAACACTGGAAGCTCATTCAGGAAAGCAGGCGACTGGTTGCTGGCAAGCTCCCTGTGCTAACAGCTTACCGGCTGTGCGGTCTATGTACCAGTTACTGCTCAGTTCAGACATTTTCTATGATGTAGACATATATTACCACTTCTTTAAAACAAAACTGTTCAGTTGTTTCTACTGTCTCAGTTTTATTTTTTGTTTTGAAATTTAGACTGATAAAGTATTGTGAAAAACACTGCTCTAGCTCCTTTTTATAGGGCTTTTTTCCAATGAACATTTAAGATGTGACAGGTATTTTAGTTTTTGTTTAGCTGTAAATGTGCTTTTTACTTGTTTGAATTTATTTACTTATTAATATATATAGGTTTTTTTAATGTATTGACAATCATGATAGACCACACATCTAAGTCCTCCAAGTATTTTACGGGAAGTTTTAATGACAATTTCTGTACAGAAAACTTTGAAGTGAAACACAAAGTATCTGTTTCATTGATTGAGCATACTGTACTTCAGAGAACATAGTTTCTCAAGCTGTGTTATGTGTACTATACATGTGTAAACCACTTCAAGCAATATCTGATCCTAGTAAGAGCTAGAAAGTACCAGTGCTAAAGTGGTAACTTCCACTGATGCTGATCAAGTTACCTAGAATAAAAAAATGAGACTCCATTCCATAGACTGCTTCTGGGTTCCTGCTGTACAGCGGAGTTGGAGGGAATGGAGTGTCTTTTCTGTTAACTAGCTAAATGAAAGTTATTAAAGTAGGAAATCTATGTCCTTCAAATTATGGAAATAGGAAAGTTAAAGCCCAGTGGGAAGATGACCGTCACCTATTTTCTTCCATCTCATCTGTATTAATTAGTGAATGAATTGAGAACATGTACTTGATTTTGTTTTATTCACTGTGCTACAGTGATTGTAGACAGAGATCCAGATTTGGTTCTTCCTATTTGATGCTGCTTACATCATCTCACCAGGCATACTTACTTTATCTTTTATACAGATGTTTTAAATAGCTGTATACTACTCATTCTAACTATCAAAGTACATACTATGGAAGGTGATTAAAAATCTATAGGTAACTCCCGTTAAATTTAAACAGAACGTCAAGCCAAAAAAGGCACAATGGTGTAATGTTTAGACCATGACTTAAACTTTGAGTTTTATATAATTTTTTTATTGAAAGCAAGCACATAATTTTGTTACTGCTTATTATGGCTTACATTTTATTTTGAATGGGTTAAGAAATAAATTGCGTCATAGAAGTTCTTGAGCATATGCCCCTAGAACCTAGGTCTTTTTTTGTGAATAAATTATTTTAGGTGTAATAAATGGCACAATTGTATAACAGTTTGCTTGTATCTACTTACGAATAAGTTTCCTTTTCTCAGTTGCAGAATTCCTTTCTTTGTTTCTTGTTCAACTTATAATCTGTTAGAGTCAATGATTAATGATGGCAGGAGTGATGTCACTTTCACTTTCCTTTTCCTCGCTAATGCTGTTTCTGTTAAGTCTGTGTGCAGAGACACAGCTATGATCAAGACATGTGCAAAACAATGGCTGGAGATACTGAATTTGCAGATCTTGTGAAAGGCAATTGTAAAACACCTTACCAAAAAATGTTTTGCCTTCAAAGTAAATAGTTGAGAATGAAAAGTAAGTAATTGAGAACACATTTCAAGCTGTACAGGTGAAAATAACCAAACAATAGCATTTCCTGTACACTTCAGTCATTCCAGTCAGTTTGCAAGTTGGGTTGTGAACTCAAACATGCAGTAGTAGTTTTACACAATTGAGTTCTTTCCATCCTTTATCAAATTGTACTGTTATATGTGCATATGTAATATCAAATGTATGTGTAAGAGAGAAGTCTCTGTAAGGACAGATCGCAGCATCAACTATGCACTGCTGAAGAGTGAAACTATTTGTTCTGAATGTGGGTTATTTGGTTTCCATGTGTGTGCTCGAGTGGACCCATCTGAGAGGAGAGGTGCGACGTGCTCCGGTAGACCCTGGGCCGGGTGCAGTGCCCAGGGCCCCTGGACAGAGCAGGCTTGTGTTGCAACTTAAATACACCCAGCAATACTCTTTAGTAAACCCTTTTAACTAGTCGTGGTTTCTTTTAATGCTGCTGTTGTTTTGAAAACATAACCCCAATTACAAGCTAACTATGCGTTTTATTTGTGGGACTTTCCTTATTTGATGGTAGCTTTGTACATTTTCATATCTTCTGCCGTTTTCTTCCTGGTTTTCTTTCTGATGTGTAAGGGCTTGGGGTTTCTGGGAAGCAGAGCTCAAGTCAGACAGCTGAGTTGGAGCAGGGGAGCCCTCCACACGGTGAGCCTGAGCTGTGGAGTCATGCAGTGGGCCGGGAAGTGGAGAAAATAGTCGCTGAAGCTTAGACTTGGGGATGGCAATTAGTTGAAGGAGCCAGCCCAACCCAGGGTTACCCAGTCTCTCCATCAGCTTGTACTACTACCTTAACATCTGGTTTTCAAGTTCCCGCTTGAAACGGTTTCTAATCTCTTCTCTGATCTGGGGAGAATTAGAGTGAATGACTGGTGGGGTTTGCTTTTCAGCATCAGATTGGGAGGCGAAATACGTTTGAAATTTTCCAGTTTAGTTAGCAGCTGCTGAAGCTTTAATCAGAAGTGTGTACTGTAGCTGCATCGGTCAAGTACGTGTACATGACACCTTATAATTAGTGACACCAGTAACTTTGTTTTCTTTTAAGAATATCTCATCAAAATCTGGATTCCCATGCATAAAGTCTTTCATTTTTGGAAACTTATTGAAAAAATGAACTCTGTGAAAAACCTCTAAAATTCAAAACCCTTTAAAAATTCCTGAACTTGGAAAAAAAAGATTATTTAAAACATCTTCTATGTCCTAAACAGATTAATTTGGAAGAGCAGCAATTCTTTTTGAGACCAAGGGATAAATGTAGTGATTACACATGCTGTTTTTCATTCCAAGATGATACTTAATTCCCGCCCTAATCAGCTCTCTCAAGGTGGCCTTAAAATGAAGCCTGAACAATAGCTGTAGTGTAAACAAGAATCTTTAAAATGACTCTTTACCTACTCCATGGGTACCAAAGAGCCTTTTCTGCATTGTGTAGATATGTGCTTAGAAAATTTTAAAAACTACGTTTATTCCTATAGTGAACTGTAATAACCTTGAAAGACCCCATTGTAGACTGCAGGGTTAATAAGTATTTACACACATTCTTTGCTGTTAGTGATTTATTATTGTTAGACTAAGATTAAATGTAAGCATGCAGGGCAGGAGCTGAAAGTCAGTCAAAAGCAAGGCAGAGGAATGAGTGAGGAGAAGGTCAGCGGTGCTCGGGCATGATTTGTGCCTGCTCTCTCTGCACAAGTGAGTAGATCACGCTCTCTTCACATAGCTGACCAGACCAGCGTTTTGCAGAACACTTTTCGAAGCTCAGCTAGTTGATCCTGCTCTCTGATAGAAAGTCTAGATAACATTTGGTGTCGGGAATTCTGGTACGTAATAATTGCATTTTAACTGTGTTGATTTTCATGTTGAGGAAAGCTTGAGGGGCATCACTGCTGTGGTTCGGTAGCGGTGCCGGGAGCTGCTCCCTGCCTCTGAAGGTGAGACTTCTGAACAACCTGAATGTGCTGCAGTGAAGCAGAGAGGCACGAGCCCCAAGTCACATGGCCAACATTTGTCCACATGATGGTACATGCAGTATATATCCTAAAAGTAGTGCTAGCACTTTTTGGAATGTTTTATGTGTCTGCTTTATACATTGTGGATACCTATTGATATACAGAAATCCCTAATCATCATCTGTTTGTTTCTGTAAGGCTTACACATAGTCAGTTTTAATTCTGCTGAAGAGGAGTAAAAAACCAGGCATCCTTGCTGGCCCCAGATCTTAAGTGGAGTTTTCAATTTAGAAACCCAGAATTAATTCAGTATTTTAAACTCTGATCAGAAAATGTGGTCCAGATGGATGGTCACAGGCTTCTGTTAGCTGTTCCTGTGAAGCAAATGGAACCAAATAGTTCTTTGTGGAGACTCAGTTTTAGCCTTGGAGTTTTTCTTACTTCAAAAATCTGTAACATGCTGCTTACATCTCCTTCTAAACTCTGTGGGAAGCAGTTTTCAAGCTGGGCCACTTTTACACTGACTGTCGAAACATGGAGTTATCTCTCTTAAAGAAGCAAAGGGAAGACGTTGAGTTGGAGGTGGTGAGATGGCATT